AAAGGGAAAAAAGATATAGCGTTTTCTGGATGGTGGTTCCTGAAGCAAAACTTGCTTCATTTTCATGGAGCTTTACAAGGGCAGGGAGAAGCTTGTCGGTTAGCATTGAATAAGTACCACTTTCCTTCACTTGTCTATATGTTGCTGTGTATGTATCAATGAATGCAGGTTTATCTTGGGGTTCACCACATGACCCATTCAGGAAGAGGAAGTATTTAAAAGTCTCCCCCTAGTGTCGGTGCAGTCATTGTTCTGATCCTCCATTCTGCTTGGATAATATAAACCTCATCCCATGAGTCCGTACATGAGCGCTCAATGCCATCTCACTGTCAAAAACATCTTTGCAGACTTGGCACTGAAGATCAACATCCTCCTCCGATGTAGTGTTCGACTCCCCGTTCTGTTCATCTTGTCCGTTTTCACTAATCACATCGGCTGTACGAACCTTCTCAGGTTCCTTGAGTTTGTGGACGATGTAGAGGTGCCTATTCAGGGATAATGGAGATGTATAACAAAGCCCACACTGGGAACACTGAAAGGTGGAACCATCAGACTTATGCTGAGGAATGTGCTGCTGAAAGTCAGCTTGGCTTTTGGTCATGTAGCCACATATGGAACATCTGTATTGCTTGAACACTGTGACCTTCAGCTTCTTAGGAAGTGATGCCAAAATGTCGGAGCTGGATAGCTCACCCACTTCTGAGTCACTAGCCAGTCGTTTGCCAGGCAAGTCCTCCTCAAGCAGAAAATAACAATTAGTTTTCTTAAAACATAATCTCTATATACTTTATACATTATCAAATGTGATTTCTTTTTCTAAATTATTCATTTTTGAGACATGGGCGTCACTAGCCTGTGACTATGAAGGAACTATGATACACATCCATCCGGGTGTTGAGAGACTTTGATGGGAAATTCAGAGGTGGCTGTGTACCCACAGCTTTATCCTTCTTGATGGTGATGGCAGCTTTGGGAGGTGTTGTCATGAGGGCCAGGAGACGTTAATGTAGCACAGCCTATAGCTGGTGCACACTGTGGATAGATCACTATGTTTCAAAGGCTCATTCATGATGGCTATATTTAAAAGGTTGCTCTTTTTTAAAAATGACAAATAAACAAATCCTTGTATTGTTTGGCAAGCCCTGATGTGCTCTTTGGTTTTGTTTCTTGAGACCCTCTCTAAATTTTACTCCCATTGAGGTTTCCAATCAAAAAAGTTCCCTGTTGCTCTTTGGTAAAGGAAATCTGCCACGCTTACTCAGTCTGGCTAATAACTAACTTCAAACCCACAACATGGTTGGCTCTGAACTACCGTCTAAAATGGCCCAACAAACTAGTCAGTTCAATGAGAATTAGGGTCGGGGAACAAGTGCAGGCTTTGCCATTAGCACCCCCATCTCAGACACTTTTAAAAAAATACTCTGCCGTGCATGCACCAAGAACAACCTTTGATTCCTGGAAACTAGCCCTTGAAACTGAGATTACTGCACCCTATACTTTATTTAAGCATTCTCACTGCCAATTCTTACAAGTATATGTGCAAACAACAGTCTGGTGCTGATTTCCACATCTTCTGTTGTGAGACATCTCATTCTTGCCTACATGAAACCACCTTCTCACAGAGCGCAAGTCTTCCTTAAGATGACATCTAGAAATAAGGAAGGTGGGGTGCTCACCACTGTTGTGTCTGTGCCCACGTGCACAGCTTTTGGCATCTGGCTGAAGTCTGGATTCTTGATGCCATGCATTAGGTTGATGTGTTTCTCCAGCATGAAGCGCTTAGCAAAAAAGTGCTTTTCATCTGTGCAGTACCTAGAAATAATAACAGGAATTCTGAATACAAGACCAGCACTAGGCATGTAGCAATCACCATCAATAACATGAAGGAGGCAAACCCAACAAAATAGTTTAAATTGGAAGCAAAATACCACAGATGTCGCAAATCTGAAAGAAAAACACACTGCTGGAGAAACTCAGCATCTATGGGGAGAGAAGCGGAGTTAAGATTTCGAATCTGATTGGACTTCTTCAGAACAGTTCCTTAGCATGTGAAAGGAAGAGAAAATGTTTCTCAATGAGGCGTCAGCTGAGCTGAAGAATGAAATGGAACTGGACAGCTTAGAGATGGCGTGAGGTGGTGCTGATGGAGAGCGTGGTTGAGAATGTGCATGACACTGTGCGGGGATTTCAGGATACAGCGAGAACAGCTGTCTAGGGAATGTTGTATGTCACAGAGATACCTGTAATCCTGGATGGGATATTTTGTTGTGCAATCTGATCAGCCAGCAGGTCTGCAGCAGTGACTATAATCAGTCTCTAGACTCTAAAACCTGGAGTTCAGGGTGGTCTCACAACTGGGCACAGGCTCGTTTCTGGAGAAATTAAGTAAGGGTTGGGGATTAAATGTCTGATCGTGAGCAGATCTCGTGTTGAGGTGCCTGAAATGGGAAACAAGTCATTGAATGAGGCACCCCTCCACATTCTCACTCAACGTCCTAGCTAGACAACTGCCTGGGTTCCTCTTCAGCTCCCTAGGTTCTCCAATGAGCTTTGAGAACAAATACTGGGGGGTGGGGAAGTGATGACTAGTTGCCCACCTATTGGTTACAATATAGGCAAGGCTAGGTGGGTATGCCTAGGCTTCATCTGTCCAATCAGAAAAGCACAGACAGATCAAGGCAGGCAGGGGACCATGAACTTCTGCCTGTGGGTTCTGTCTGCTTTTAAGAATCAGTTGAACTGAATGAATTTTAACATAAATGAGGGACAGCTTTTTAGCTTTCATTGTACTTCTACAAGCTTGGTGCAGCATGTCAGGATAGCAGAATATCATCTGCAACTCTTCTACATTCAAGCAGTAAATGGAACATTGCAATCGAACCCAGCAGCTGGATGACATCTGGATAATATTAACCATTAATCTGACAACCATGGTGAACCACAGCAATACCAATTCAAGCTGTTTGCTCGTCAATGAAGGCTAGCTTGATAACACATGATGCAAAGAGTACTTTATGGATATTAGAAAGACAACTGTGAGAAAGTGGGCAGTCAGAGCGGGACTGAGGGTGTTGTACAGAAATGCACACAGTATATGAAACAAGGTAAAAGAACTTGTAATGTAGATTGAAATAGGCAGGTAAGATGTTGGGTGTATCACAGAGGCATGGCTACAAGGGGACCAGGGCTGGGAACTAAATATCTAAGGACACATGTCTTATTGAAAGGACAGACAGATGGGAAAATGGGTCAGGGTTGCCTTGTTATTAAGAAATGAAATTAAATTGATAGCAAGAAGCAATTTGGGCCAGAAGGCACAAAATCTGTGTGGGTAGAGTTGAGAAACTGCAAAAGAATAAAGATCCAGATGGGAATTATGTACAGACGCTATAGCACTAGTCAGCATGTGGGACAGAAAATAAATTAGGAGATAGAAAAGGCATGTGACAAAGACACTATGACACTAATCAAGGGAGACTTCAATGGTGGACTGGAAAATCAGGTTGGTAGCCAATCCAAAGAAAACAAAATTGTGGAATGTCTATGAATGGTTTTCTGCAACAGTTTGTGAGAGCCCATTAGGGAACAGGCAATTCAGGATTCGGTGAATGTATTATGAAGCAGATTTGATTAGGGAGCTTAAGGTGAAGCTTAAGGAGAGAGTGACCATAATATGATCGAATTCACCCTGCAATTTGAAAGGGAGAAGCTGGAATCAGATGTAATGGTATTACAATTGAGTGATGGTGACTACAAAGACACAGAAGAGGAGCTGGCCAGAGATGATTGGAAGGGGAGCCAAGCAGGGAAGTTGGTGGAGCAGCAGTGGCAGCAGTTTCTGGGGATAATTCACGAGGCACAGCAGAAACTCATCCCAAGGAAGAAGAAAAAGGGGAGGGCAAGGCAACTAGGGCTGACAATGGAAGTCCAGGACAGCATTAAAATCAAAGGAAAATGCACACAATGTGGTGAAGATTAGAGGGAAGCCAGAGGACGGGGGAGCCTTTAAAAACTAGCAGAGAACAACCAAAAAAAACACAATAACGGGGGAGAAGACAAAATAGCTAGCATGTAATAAAAAAAACTGCAAGAGATTTTTTCAGATATCTAAAAGGTAATTGAGAGGCAAGCGTGGACACTGGACTGCAGAAAAATGAGGCTTGAGAAGACAAGCCACCACTAGCATACTAGAGCTTCATGGGAGTCAAGGGGCAGGGGTGAGTGTAGTAGCCATTGCTAAGGAGAAGGTGCTGGGGAAGCTGAAAGGTTTGAAAATGGATAAATCACCCCAATCAGATGGACTACATACCAGAGTTCAAAAGGAGATTGTGCAGCACAATAGGGGTGAGTCAGCACGGCTTCATCAAGGCGAGATCATGCCTGACAAATCTCTTAGAATTCTGTGAGTAGGCAATGAGCAAGTTAGATAAAGGAAAGCCAGTGGACGTGATCTATTTGGATTTTCAGAATGCCTTTGACAAGATGCTGCTACATAGGATAAGAGCCCATGTTATTAAGAGCAATGTACTGGCATGGACAGGGGATTGGTTGACTGGCAGAAGGCAGAGAGTGGGGATAAAGGGGTCTTGTTCAGGATGGCAGCTAGTGAATAGTGGAGTTCCACAGGGGTCAGTTAGGACTACAACTGTTCATGTTATACATTAATGATCTGGACGAAGGAATTGAGGACATTGTCGCTGTGTTTGCAGATAACACGAGGGCAGGTAGAGGAGGCAGGGAGGCTGCTGAAACACTTGGACACTTTAGTAGGAAGAATAGAAGCATAGATTATTTTCTAAGGGGGAAAGCCTTCAGAAATCTGAAGGGATCTAGCAGTTCTGAGTTCAGGATTCTCTTAAGATTAATATGCAGGTTCAGTTGGCAGTTAGAAAGGCAAATGCAACGTTAGCATTCATTTTAAGAGGTCTAGAATAAAAATGCAGGGATGTACTGCTGAGGCTCTGGTCAGACTGCATTTTGAATATTGAGAGCAGTTTTGGACCCTACATCTAGGGAAGGATGTGCTGGCCTTAGAGGGGGTCCAGAAGAGGTTCTGATTGTTATTTGAAAAAGCGCAATGTGCTGGGTGTGTGGAGAAACCTGGAAAATGGCACAAAGCAAATTGCTCATTTGGAGAGCTGCCACTGACACAATAGACGAAATGAACTGCTTTCGAGTTACAACTATTCTGAGGTTTTCCACTATTGAATTTTTCATGAAAGGAGGAGACATTATCACATCCAGTAGTCTGAACACATGGGGCATCTGGCCATGTACTTCAGTCTCTGTTGAAGCTGGGGGAATAATAACATTTGTCATTGTTGTGTTTGTTGCACTAACTGCACCAAATAAAAAGACAGATATTGGAGATATGCAGAAGATACAACAGAATCTATGAAAAGACAGATTAATGCTTTGCTGTAGGACTGCACCTGAACAGTTAACCTGGTTTTACTCACCGCAGATGCTATTAAATCTGCTCTGAATTTGTTAACAAGATGTTTATTCACATGGGGACTGGAGAATACCAGAGCTAAACTAGGAAGGGGACAGATGAATAAATGCAAGTTTTATAGCTACACACCAGTTTCAGCAGCACAATACAAAAATCATAATTACACAAGCAAGTAGCAGAATGCTTAGGCTCCTAACCTCCGGTCACTATGCAAAGCTCTCATATGGTGGATTTATATCTCTGACAATTTTAAAATCTGGGTCTGGACACATAATTCCATTTTTAATCCAGATTATGAAAATGCATCAAGCTGTAGCTACAACTCCCAACTAATGAAACTTAAATACAAAAAGAAAATGCTGGAAAGACTCAGCAGGTTTGGCAGCCTTTTTAGAGGCTTGTTTTTAGGATGTTTTTTAAACACTGGCTAGGCCAGCACTGATTAATCAATCCTTAATTGCTCCCTCCCTCTCTCTCTCTCTCTCTCTCTCTCTCTCGAGAGAGAGATGGTGAGCCCATGGTGAGCCAATCTGTGGTCTATTGTGCTGTTAGGAAGTGAGTTATGGAACAGTGAAGGAATGGAGATGTAGTTTCAAGTTGTAATGGTATGTAATGGGAGTGTGCTGGTGGTGTTGTTTACACAGGCAGTTTGTTTTTTGAGAGAGTAAGAGAGAGAAACAGTCCCTCTAAATGAGGGTGATGCATGCATACGGCAACAACATGCCTACACAGAGTCTTTTAATGTGGGAGTCTGTTGTGGTGCAGCTATGGGTCTGGCTAACCAGGGTAGTCTGGCTAACCAGGGAAGTCTCCCTCTTTACTGCTTGCTGTAGGCTTTTTGGAAGAATTTAAGGATTGACAATCGACTTTTTTGGCCATACTAAGGCATATCTTATGCTTTCTTCATTTCTGAGGTAGGAACATTAGGCCCAGAGTAGTGATGCAACACAACATTTATTATAAATGTGGATGAAACAATTTAGATTGGAAATAAAAAAAAAAAGACATGCTAACTTTATGCCGATAATTACAATGGGAATTCTATGTGAATAATCCAAATGGTGCTATTTGCAGGGTATGACCACTTGATGGCACAGCATTGCTGTATCCTAGAGCCCTGACTCCTCCGACACACCCAGACTGACACATGAAGTTGTGTCAGGTCAGGAAAACATTCAGCTTGGTTCTACCCACACAAAAATTCTGCTGACATGTACTGTTCTGCCTTGTACTTGAAGAACACCCAACTTAGGCAAGGTGCTGCAGGGCTGCTGTTGTCTGTGGAATTGTAAACTCCAGACATTGGCTTCAGCCTCAAGGATTGGTGGTGAGAAAGGGAACTGGAAAAACAAGCAAAATCAAGCCCTCAAAATGGCCTTACAAAATTCTAGGTGATGATTCAGCCACTGTACATCCCTTTCAATTACTCAGATTGTTGCAGACTCTCAATTACTTCCTGAAACAGAAATGCCACAAGATTTGATACCAAAAGTACCATCATGTAATTTGCAGGTTGCAGATTTTTATCAGCAGTCAGGCTCTGACTATGAATGCTGTGCTCAATTTCTTCAGGTTTTGTAGCAGCCCAGTAAAAGCCAAGTGCTGGGTTTTACAGTTTACACATTACAGATGTCTGACTGTGCAACGTGGCTACCCCCTTGCTTATGTTGTAGATGTTCTCTTTACTGTTGTGCTGGCTTTCTTACTTGTTTACGTTCATTTCTTATGCACTAAGTTCGGGGGGAGTGGGAGAACACTGAAAGGGGAGTTGACATGCTATTTATTTCCCCAACGTCTTCCATCATCTACCACCCAAACATGTTGCTGTCTCCTGGCTTGAGTATTAAATAGGGTGCATTTAAGGGCATGTACAGTTTATAAGGATAGGACAAATGGACTAGAGGCTAAATTGAAAGGCCTCAAGGGGTTAAAATGCCTAATCCCATTCTAGTATAAGCACGCATACTAGATATATCCTAGGCACAACTATCAATTTAAGATTTTCACAGGTAGTTAAATGTGAAAAATCTCACCAATATTGGCCAACCTTAATAGGTATCATGACAGTTTACCATTGCTTCAGTATGTCTAGGCAGTTTGCCCATTGTTCAGTGATGACTTATTCCAATTTCTGAGCTTGTATAAATTACTGTGCTTCTACTGTGTGTAAGTTGATTTTTTTCAGGCCAGTTATTTTTAGTTCAAACGTCATCTGGTCAATTTTTATTTCAGGTAATGTTTTCAAGAGATGGATTTGTGAACATGCAAATCATAGTCAAAAAAGGGCTACTGTAATGGAGAGTAGAGCAACAACACAAAAGAATTTATATTAGTAAACCAAAATGATCACTTTAACAATTTGAAAAAACAAAAACAGTAATTAAACGTAGAAAAGTTTAAGGGTTTACAATTAGAACAAATCATTAGCAACGCTATGATTATGCTTTGATCTTGAAATCTTTTGGGCTTTTATCCTTGAACAACTAGAATTGCCTTTTACACAAGGTGTATGATCACGTACTTTGTTGAGGCCAAAAATAACTTTTGCAGGACAGCAACTTTTACACGAGTTCGACTTTTGCAATAGCACAGCTGGCTTAAAGGTAGAGTATCACAAGATCCGACTACCCAAAAACCCAGTGGTGTGAGAAAATCGGACATCTTTATAATTATCCATATGTCAATTTTAATGGAGTCCAATAGAAATCACAAGTTACCTGGACAATTTGGTCAGGCCCTGTGGTCTGGCTTCAGCTTTTTGTGCGGCACTCTGTCCCTCCACTTCAAAAGTGACCCTTGACGCTACCCAACCTGCCACAATTTGACTGGAATAGCCCATGGCATGACCACCCACACCCAAATCTGGAGATATCCAACATGGAGCACATCCTTGGCCTGAAGGTGCCAGATTTGAGATACTCAATCTATAGATTTTTTAAACTTATTTAAAAAAATAAACTTTGAGACAAACATTTTTAAACAATTCCCTTAAGTAAATGTCATCCACCAATCACCTTTCTTTCATTTGAGATTTATTACTCTGCTGTTTATAGACGCTGACTGACCAGCCGTACATCTCCAGCGTTTTCAGATTTACCGCAATTTCAATCTCTGTTTGCATTACTGCTTTGTTTGTAAAACTGCACTGGGTATTTTCCCTCTGAAATTCTGTGGGTGCAGCTTGTTGGAAAAGTTAGGGAATATTCCGAGTACACTGGGTCACAACTTTCAGCGAAATAGTGATGGTGGCTGAACATTTTGTAGATATACAACAGAATGAAAAGTGAGGAGCAGACAAAGGGGCTTTCAGAACAATTAGACATGGCACAAAAATACAGAATCTAAGTACAAAATCAGCCTAAAAATTATGCAGCATTACATACAATCAAATATATTCCTCAGAATCTACAACTATGTGCTTATGCTGTATGCCTTTTTGGAGATTATTCAACATTTCAAATCAAGTCGAGGCTTTGCCTTTCAGATTCAATGTTAAACTGAAGCCTATTCAGGTGTGTGTAAAGGACTCTATGGCATTATTCAAAGAACAGCAGTAGGTGATCTGGCAAATATTTATCCTGCAACAAATAGCAGGGAGGGGTCTGAATACTCTTTTACTACCTTTGGCATTTTACTGAAGGGCAAATTTGTTGCTGCCAATCACTATATTTCAGAGATAGTTAATTAGCTGCTACACGCTCTAAGGTTACTGAAGGATGTGAAAGGTTCTCTGCAAATACAGTTTCTTCCTTTGCAGCAACAATTGAACTCAAGGTAATTATGCAGCGTGACTTCATGCGATTAGTATTCTTTGGTGAGCTGACGGGTTGAGAGAACTTATTTCATACAGATGAGGCAACTTGGATCCATTCATGTAACACGTCAGGTCTGCTGTATTACTTACCAACAAGTGTAGGTTCTCTTGACACCATCATGGTTGACTCTGATATGTCTCCGTAGACTGTGAGAGGAATTAAAGGAACGATCGCACTGTCGGCATGGATACCTCTTCATTGACTGTTGAAATTGAGTGATAGAGAAACAGAGGGAGAGCTCAATAATTATTTTGTCCACCTGGAGTGCAGATGAGTTGATGCAAACCTCATTTTGGTTTTGTATAGAGGGGTCAAACACTCTGGCTGTACGAAAGGGCCACATTTCCATTTATATCCTGCTCCTCACTCAGGGACTAAAGTTCGGTCTATCCAATATCATGTTTCCTTTTTCCTGTCGCTCAGGGCCTCTGTGGGCAGAAAGTACAAAAGCTGATTCCCACTTTTGCCAGGAGGAGGACCAGCCACTCCTCTGCATTTTATACTGTCAAAGCCTATTACTCCTTTTCTCTCATGTACCTATCTAATTTCCTTCCAATTTCATCAATATTATTCAACTATAGGAAGGATTTTGTGAAATTAGAAAGAGTTCAGAAATGATTTACGAGGGTTGGAAGGTTTGAGCTATAGGGAGATGCTGAATAGTCTGGGACTATTTTCCCTGGAGTGTTGGAGTCTGAGGGGTGAACTTAAGTGGTTTATAAACTCACAAGGGGCATAGATAGGGTAAATAGGCAAGGTCTTTTCCCCGGGATGGGGGAGTCCAAAACAAGAGGGCATTTGTATAAGGTGAGAGGGAAAAGATATAAAAGGGACGTAAGGGGCAACTTTTTCACGCAGAGGGTGGTGCGTACCTGAAATGAGCTGCCAGAGGAGGTGGTGGAGGCTGGTAGGATTATAACATTTAAAAGGCATCCAGATGGGTATATGAATTGGAAGTGTTTAGAGGGATATGGGCCAAATGCAGGCAAATGGGACTAGATTTATGTAGGATATCTGGTCGGTTTGGACGAATTGGACTGAAGGGTCTGTTTCTGTGCTATATACCTCTATGACTGTATGACCTCAGTCACTCCATGTGGTAGTAATTTCCACATTCTAATCACTTCCTGGGTAAAGAAGTTTTCTGGACTTTCCTATTGGTTGTATTAGTGATAACCTTATAGTTATAACCCCTAGTTTTCCATTCTTCTGCATGTAGACACCATCGGCAGCTCTGGATCGTAAAGCAAAGCCAGCCAGTGCCTGAAAATTTGCTATTATCTCCTTTCGATGTTTGGAAAGGATACGGAGATTTATCACAATGGTACCAAGGATTCCTGCTCCTGATCACCAGCCAGTATTTGAATGTTTGGGAAATTAGGAGAAACATTCCTTACATAGTGGACATTTGGAGCAAGAATGGTTGCGTCAGAGAGGACTTTATCTTCTTGTGAAAAAGGAGATTAAAATCTGACAGAAAGAAACAGGACAGTTGTTTATAGAGATTGCTTTAACCAACAGCTAGCAAAGTTAACCTTTGTTGTTGTAAACCTATGATTCGAGCATAAACTGCAAAGTTTTCTGGAATTATGAACAAACAAAATAGCAACATTAAGAGGCCACTTGGCCCCTCAAGCCTGTTCTGCAATATAATGGCTGATCTGTTTGTGTTCTGAATTACACATTCCCATCCACCCTAATAACCTTTAATTTCATTGCCTAACAAGAACTGTTTACCCTACTTCTGTCTTAAAAATATTTAACAATCCTGCCATTGAGCTACCCGCTGCCATAGGGAATAACTGCAGGCTGCCAATATCAATAGAAACTCTAAGAGCGGTTACTTGGAGTCTCTGTATCCATAAATTTATGCCTGTGTAAATCACTACATTCAGAAATGGGGAGAAAATGCAAAGCGATAACATTGAGAAATGCAATAAGGTAAGAAAGCAATACTGAAGGGCAAAATGGTCTTACATAACACTGATTAAACATTAGCTTATTTCATTTCCAGACTCTATTTATGAAACAATAATTATGCGTGACTTATAATTTTTTCAACATGGAGATGAAAACAAAGGCAATTCATTTCCAGGCATAATGTTGGAAGAGTACCTTTAGAACTGCATTGCTACAATTAAATATAACTGAATGCATGATAAGAGAATATTCAAAATTAATCTGTCAAGAATAAACATATTAAAATTGAACGGCAAGATAAGTGATCATTCAAGTTGATAATTCCTGATTTGCGTATTGTATCTCTCACTTTGCAAAGGCAAAGAAGCCTGCTGATGGATTTGCATGGCAATGAGGCTCTTGTGGAAGTCAAGAGAAAGCCAAGTTTCCATTTCCTGAGGGAATGATTGAGGGGCTATTGACAGAGTGTGCAGAGAAACTGCTAATTTTAATGATATTCATCAGTAAAAGCAAGCTCATCCTGCTAGTTGCAGGGCTGGATGAACACAGCAGGCCAAGCAGCATCATAGCAGCAGAGAGGCTGACGTTTCGGGCCTAGACCCTTCATCAGAAGGGTCTAGGCC